GTTCATGGATGACTTGTTAATAGCCTCGACCCCCACAGAAGCTTGTAAGCTTGTCAAGAGACAACTGAGGAACTGTCAAGGACTTGGGGGCAATTAGGCTATAAAGTCTCAGCTAAAAGGGCCCAATTGTGCCGTCAGGCTGTGACTCATCTGGGATACAAATTACAAAAAAAAGAGGAATGTTGTCTAAAGAAAGTGTCCAGGCTATATTGCAGATCCCATTCCCAGAAACTAAGAAACAGGTGCGCGAATTTCTGAAAGCTGTCAGATACTCCAGGCTGTGGATTCTAAATTTTACTGAAACAGCTCACACCCTATATGGCTCCCTTAAGGGAAAAACTCACTAAACTGGACTGATAAATGTGAACAGATCTTGCAGCAGCTCAAGTGGCCTTGATAGAGGCCCCAGCCCTGGGACTCCCTGATGTTACCAAGCCATTCACCTTGTTCATAGAAAAACTCAGGGGCATTGCCAAAAGAGTCCTAACCCAGGACATTGGCCCTTGGAAGAGGCCTATAGCCTATCTTTCCAAAAGGCTCAATCCAATAACAAGAGGGTGGCCTCCATGCCTAAAAATTCTGGCCGCTGTGGCAATGCTACTTAAAAGAGGCCAAGAAACTCACTTTTGGACAGATTTCTGTAGTGACCTCCCACAGTTTAGAGACTCTTATCAAAACCCCTCCCGAAAATGTGAATGCTAGAATCTCACACTATTAGGCCCTGCTCCTAGACCCAGAATTGGTAGTTTTCAAGACTTCTTCAGCTTTAAACCCGGCCACCCTTATGCCTGACAACGACCTGAGAAATTTCACAGATGGAAGCAGCTTCATCCAGAACGGCAGAGGCAGATGAGTGGCCAGGGCAGCAGTGACCACCAAAAAGGAGTTACTCTGGGTTAAATGGTTAGAGTCTGGCATCTCTGCCCAAAAGGCGGAGCTCATTTCTTTGACTGAGGTACTAAAACTAGCCACAGGAAAGAGGGTAAACATCTATACTGATAGTAGCTATGCTTTTGCTACTATACATGTACATGGAGCCATCTATTAAGAGCGAGGTCTCTTAATCTCGGCCAGAGCTAAGATTTAAAAAAAAGGGGGGGGGGGGCTCCACAGATCTTAGATTTGCTGGCAACAGTCTGGCTGTCAGCAGATTGCTGCTATTCACCTGAGGAAACAATTTGGCAGATCAGGCTGCTCAAAGAGTAGCAATCACATCAGAGGGGCCAGCCGAGAAAGTAACTGCTCTGATGTGAGTCCCCCCGACCTTGTCAGAACCAATCTACACAAAGAAAGAGTGCACTGGTTGTTGTGAGCCATCTAACAGATTCCAGCCCCTGTGACTAAAAGACAAGTGCAAAATTTCTAGGAGCCACAGGACTGATCCAGAGTTTGGGACCCTGGCAGAGGCCTGTTGCCTACCTTTCCAAGAGACTTGGTTCTGTGGCAGCCAGATGGCCACCCTGTCTGCGGTGATTTCCTCAATGGCCCCCTCATAAAGGAGGCTTAAAAATTGACTTTTGGACACAAACTCTTAATTGTTTCCTCCTATTCGCTGGAGACTCTCCCATCAAGGCCCCACCAGACTGATGGATGTCTAATTCCTGAGCCATACATTATCAGGCTCTATTTCTGGAAACAGCAGCTTCAAACTCGGCTACTTTGCTGCCTGAGGACGACCCCTCATTGCCTCACCACAATTGTACTGAGATCATTGATTACCTCACGGGACGTCGACCTTATCTAGTGGATAAGCTACTATCTAGAGTTCCATCCTACTTCTCTGATGGAAGCAGTTACGTCTATCAAGGTAAGCAGGTCGTGGGACCTGCCATTACACAAAATCTTAGGTTCTATGGGAACAAATCTTAGAGCCAGAGACATCAGCATAGTGGGCCAAACTCGTTGCCCACACTGAGGCCTCAAGTTGTCTTTATCAAAAATGGTGCTTTTTGTCTTCTGGAGTCAAAAGATTAAAATTGCTCCCCAAATCTGGACTTGTTGGCTGCCATCTAGATGCCAAAGAGAGTGGCTACTATCTGCTGTATAAGCCATTGGGCAGAAGATGATCTTGTTATAGGAGAAAATAATTTGGCAAATGCCACCTTCCAAAAGACAGCCAGAAAGCCCCCAAATCAGTGGGGATTGAGATAAGCTTGACATTACTGCTGATCCCACCTATTTTCTTTGTCAGAGCCCATTTGCACTTAAAAAGACCAGCATCTGGCAGCTCAACTTCCGAGAGATTCCCGGGGGCTAATATCAAGCTAGCCCAGTCTGTGAGCTTCAGATGCCCTCAGTGCCAATTGGTAAATTGGTAAATCTAAAAGTACTGCAACAAATAGAAACTATGCCTAAAAACACTGGAAAATAGATTTTACAAAAATAAAAAGCCTGAACTTCAAGGATATAAATGTTATAATGGTTGATACTTTCACTAGATGAGTAAAAGTGTTTTCTACTTAGTCTGAGTCAGCTCTGATAGCAGTTTCCCTGATTTGGTCTCCCTTTTTATCCATGGGGTCCGACAATGGCCTGGCTTTTATAGCCTAGTAACTCAAATTAACCTAAGCTTTGCAGATCAATTAAAAAACTCGGTTGAGCTTACCAGCCTCAGAGTGAAAACTGCGTGAGTCTCTTTTCCTGCTGCCCCTTTTGCGTGCATGAGGCACCCCCTATGTTGCAGATATTTCCTCTTTTGAGGTTTTATATGAGAAGGTTTCAAGAAATTAGCTGATTTAACTAATCAAGATCTTATTAAGTCTCCCCCAGACTTTTCAGCTAACTGTGACTTCCATCCACTGGTTATTTCACTGCCCACTGCAAGCTAAAGAGCCTAGGCACCTGGACAAGCAACCTCACCGTGAATCTCTTGAGCTGCAATGGACTGTCAAAGTAGCTGAAAGCCTGCTTGGATTCAACGTTCCCACTGCAGACAGGTCCCAGCTTCATAAGACCATCAGCCTGCGGATAAGTGAACTGTCATTTCTTCCAAGGACACTTTAAAGCTTAAGAGTGTCTAATATAACTGATAATTTTGTGTTCTCCTCCTTTGTAGAGACCCCAAAGAGGCCTCTGTCTGACTTAAAAATTGTTACTTGTATGATAAAACAGAGTAAATTTAAATGTTGGTTTTCTTTCTCCCTTTGGTTAATAACTTTAATGACATCTGCAAGACCGTTGTTAATCCTCCTACTGGGCCTTATGTTGTAAACAAGTTGATAAACTATGTCAAAGTTCTTAAAAGCTTATGATTTTAAAGACACATGCAAGGTTATAAACAGATGCCAATGAGCCAATGATTTTTCTCGTTCCATTTTAAGTTGCATCTCTGGCTCACTTGTTCATAATTTAAATTCGTTTACAGATTTAATGAAGCATGCTTCCACATGGGTTTCCAACTAGTCAAAATGATATTGATTTTTCTTAGGTTATCAAAAATTCTTAGGATAAATCATAGTCCCTCGGTATGGAGAGCAATTATTGGACAAACCTCCAATTGATGAATAAGAAAGCAGCTCCCTGGAAACATTATGCAGTTCTTGTTCACTGACAGAAGGAAATCCATACAAAGTTGCAAAAGGGAGGACTTTCACTGAATTGGATAGCTCTCATTTATTTCCTTATTTTGCCATCCCCTCCTTTCCTTCCTCCTGGAAAGTTAGGGAGCAGAGCTGGAAGCAGCAACCATGCAAGTATTTTTTGCTATTCAGTTAGATTTACTCAGAGATCGGAAGAACCATGAAAACAAAGCTTTAGTGCAGTCAATCTTAACAAACTTAAGTGTCTAGTAGGTGCGTGTAAAGCAATCATGCCAAGCATTGAAACACTGTCACACAGATCTTCCCATCACTCTGTACTTCACTGAATGCTAGGCAAGGGGCAATCTTTCCGAAGATAAGGGCCAATGTTTGAAAACTTCTCCTTGAGGCATGTCCCTGGTCTTCGTCTCAGTTGGAGTTTGGATTCCTTCATACAACCGTTCCTCCTTTACCTGGAAACTTTCAGAGAGTCAGTGATTCTGAGAAGCACACTCTCTGTTGGGTAGGGGTTTCATCCGACTTTGACATTACATTTTACCGGGCTTCCACTTAAGCGTTCACTATAAGAATATGCGTTTCCTCTCTATTCTCTACTCACAACTACATTCTACAAAGACTTTCTTACTAGTTTATTTTTCCACCAATGTGCCATCTGCCCAGGGTCCCTGCAAATACATGAACTTTGCAAAGCAGTGAGAAAATATCAGTCATCTTCCACTCAGAGGTTAACAATTTCATCTTGAAAAAGCCCAGCTTTGGGGGTTTTCTTATAACCACAATATCTGTGAAGAAAGAGAGCATGTGTGTCTCTAGTACATATTCCTAAACACAGAAAGGCCTAGTGGACACTGGGAAGAAGAGCTTGTCCAAATTGCATGTTTGGAGTGACATTTGCCAGTCCACACCTCTGTGTCCCTGTGACCTTCTGTCCACGCTTATGGCATACTGGAGCGGGTCATATCCTTTCCAATCTCGCTAAGTGTCTGGTACTCTGGTATCCTTCCCTCACCTGGTCATGCACTCAAGAAGCAAAGCATAGACAATAGGATGCTTGGTGTTGACAGTGCACATAAACAGCATGTGTTGAGAAGGCAGAGAAGAACCTAGAGGCCCAGTGAGCCCTTGAGGATGACACACAGTGTTTTGTGTGCCTGGTAGGACAGGCCATAGATTCCCCTATATCCAGTCTGGCAGTTACATGTAGTTTACTTTCAAACTGGTTACCAGAACAGAAGGTGCGATGACCTCACAGGATTCCAAGCTCCCTGATTGGAAGGTTCAAATTCCTTGGGGGTTAGAAGTCCAGTGGTCAAAAGCTGCCCCTGAGAGCTGTTGTCCACTGGTGGTCTGTGTCCTCAAACTAGAAAGGAGAGTGGTTTGGGTTCAACCAAATAATAGAAATAGCCTGCGGGCAGACCTCAGCCTGTTTATTGGAGCTCAGCAAGACACTTGGCAGAAGTCATGGCCACAGATGAACCACCCTTCCAGTCTGAGGATTGCAGCACACTGCTCCTATCTCCAGGATATGCCTTGCAGGTGGTCATATTTGACACAGAGACCCCAGAACAATCAGGTGAGGGGAAGCAGGCAAAAGAGGTCTGAGAATGGAACTAGTAAGGACATAGGACTCCAGGAAAAGGAAGTAGGGATTCACGAAGGCAAAGGGAGGGGACAGAAAAGCCAGGAGGTGGGAACACGATGGGCAATAAATACAAAACATGGCAAGCAGCAAAGCTGTTAGGAGATGAGCTCCAACAATGGGTCAGGAAGCTGTGACTCAAGCAGAGTTCCCTCAAAGCATGAGTGAAAAAGTCTACATGAGTAAGTGATTATACACATAGTGTGAGGGGATACTGGCAAACAGAACTGAGTTAAAATGGAAATCACCTAAGGCACAATGGCTTTGAAGGGGACAATATAGGTAGAAACTTGGAGTTTTAATAGGGGGGAATTGAGTTGGGATAGTGAATGGCTGAAAACAGCACTCACACATTGAGCCTCAATTACTTTGCTCAGTCCTAGGGGAAGCACCTAGCCTCCCACCTTGGGCCTGTTTACAGAAGAGGAAGAGAGACTGGTTCTCAGAGACTGAGGAAAAGCTGCAAGAGAATCTGCTTGGTTTCTCTGATGGAGGGCCTGGACTGGAGTCCTATTTCATGCCTCCCCCACCAGCCCAGAAGAAGCAGAAAGACAGTTCTGATTCAGAGTCCCAATCAGAGGCAGAGCAAGAGAAGGATCATCAGGGGGGCTCTGATTCAGATCTCAGGGGGAACCCCAACCTCCTACCTCGATCTCCTAGCCACACATGGAAGACGGAGTGGTCATGGGAGTCGAAGGAGGATGAGGAGGGGGGAGGACCCCGGTGCTGTGACTCAGCACCCAGGGTAGACATGAGGCTCCCACCTCGCAAGAGGTGGAGACAGTATGTGTCCTTGCTAGATGAGGAGTCTTGGGAACATCTAAACCCTGTGCCATCTACACACACAGGTATCTTGGAGAAGCCTTCTGGCCTCAAAAAGAAGAGGAAGATGAAACACCTGTCCTCGGTGCTGCCTGAACACCATGCAGCCTTCACCAGGCTGCTGTGTAAGGAGGCCCCACGTGGCACCACTCATCTAGTTGCAGGGAACACCAGACACTGCCAGTCACCTCTGTCACACATATAAGGAAACTCTATGTAATCCCAAGGTCTCCATTCCTGGAGGGCTATGATGTCATCCTGCCCCAGGCATATAAATGACAGTGACACATGTCCCCAAATGGGAACAGAAAGCTGGGTTCCAAAGGGCCTCTCTGACATTGAGGAATTGCTCCCTTCCCTGAATGGAAATGTTTGCAGCACCTGAGGGCTGGCAGGGTTATGCTGTGTCCTAGAAGCATAGACCATAAGAGATATCGACCTGGAGAGTTCTGAATTGTGAGCAGGAGCATTCATCTGCCATGAGAGACCACCACAGACTGCTCTACAGTCAAAACCTGGCAAATAATTGGTGTTACCCTGCCCTTCACTCAGTGGCTTCTCCAGGTGCCTCAGGAATGAATCCACATCCTTGCCCAGGAAATCTTTTATCTGTCTCCCGCATAGGCCTGAACCTGGTGCTACCCAGCACTTTCTTTCAGCCTGATGTGGTTTCACTCCCTGTTTTCTCACTCACGGTGAAAACCTTGACAAGTTGCAAACTAACCCTGAGGTCTTTTCACAGCGGATCCCATCATCAGAAGATTTCTGGCCTGGGACATGAACCTCAGGGCTTCTGATAAGGTGAAGCTAAAAACCCCTAGGCTATGCAGTGGCTATGTCATAGCCTGGGTTTGCAGAGTTCCCAACCTTCAGTCCTACTTCCTTCCCTCCCACAAGCTTCCACCAGCTTTCCCACCCTGGAGGTACCTTTATGCATCCACATCATCTTGCTGGCAGGCCTTGCTCATCCTGGAACACCCTCCTCTATCTGGATCTCCTGGGATGTGAGCCCAGGCCATGCTCTCCAGCCTCTATCTGGATCTCCTGGGATGTGAGCTCAGGCAGCTCCAGCCAGAATCACCTGGTCCCTTCCCTTAGCTCTGTGGGACATGTTTGCACTACACTGAAGAACCTCTTTCACATTCAAGTGACTTCAATGTTCTGTCTCAAAGACACCATTGGAGGTGACACCCTGGGCTGCCTTTTCCCTTCTCTCATGATGAATGCTCTCAGTGGCAGGAAACTTTAAACTTCCTTACCCTCCCCTAGTTGCCAGCACAGCCTGCGGTGGAGTCTCTTCTCCACATGGCCCTGCTGCTGTCTGCCAGTCTGTGGCCACACATCCCCCTTACTCTCTGGCTCTCTTCTCTTCCCATCAGTACCTCCTAGCCATGGTCATCGCCTATTTTAGCTGCGCTGGACTCTTCCCCTGGCAGTACCAGAGAATCCATTTCTTCTTGGCACTGTGAGTACTGGGGCTCTCCTTATTGTCCTGCATAGTCACTTCCGGACAATGGGAGAGGTTAATCTAATCTGTCCTTTAATTTCAGACCTCTAGGTGCTGCTCATTCTTGAAAATGGTTTCACACTACAGGTCCCAATAGTTCCCTTTGTAAAAGTTACACTGTACTCTTATGTCAAAGAGTGCAACCAGAGGAAACAGACCTTAACAGGCCCAAAGAACCCACAGGGACCCTCAGCCCACAGACACAAAGAGCAGATGCTAATGGCCATTGTGATCACCTCCTTCCTGAGCAGAACCAAATGTCTTTCTTGTGCCTACCTTGTGTGTTTTAAAGACTGATATTGCAAGCATGCCCTCCTTACAGGTCACAGGATGCATGTAGTACGTTCCCTACTGCTGTCTCATAAGTAATTCCACAAGCCATGGAGCAAATTCTAGCTCTGTTGACTGATAATCCTTCTCAAAGATGTTCCAAGAATTAGGTTACCTCATGCCTACTGTACTGCTGATTATTTCCTGGAGACCAAGGCTCTCTGGAGATCTGCTATTGAACTTACCCACTCTACAATACCTTAGTCACCAAACCACCTCATCACTGTTATACCATTTCTTTTCCTTCATTGCTCCTTCCAAACCATTATGTGTCTCTTACTTTTGGCCCATGTATATTAATAAAACTTTGAAACTCAATAACATTATGAAATGTTCAACTGGGTGAAAAGATCCAAACTATGATGGCCACGGGCGTACACAATGGTATAAATGCAACTCAGAAAGCTACTACAAGGATTGTTTCTATCCTGGGGTTCCAGATCCACAATTTAAGATCAGAGGAAAGCCAATGCAAACCTGTTGCAAAATACAAGTGGGAACATTTGCATAACCCTGTAATCAGTGTGCACTGGGAGGCTGAGGTAGGAAAATGCCAGAGTTAAACCATGCCTGGCAACATAATAAGATAGCAAGATGTTGTTTCCAATGAAATCTTTAAATAGACCGTGGATATACATCAACATAAAATCTCTTGGATTCACTCAGCACTGAACACAAAATAAAAAGCAAAACTCCTAAACGGACTGCTTCCTTCACAACTTCTGCCTTCCCACAGTTTTATCATCAAGTCCCACTATGATAGAATATTTTAAACTAATTCCTCTGCCCTGCTTCTATCTACCTAAAATTCTTTCATGGGACAAGTGTTGAGGGCTGCTCCTTGGGAAATTACACTTGCATTCTGAAAGCAGTCCCTGTGGTGCATTTCATTCAGTAAGTGCTTTCTGAACTGCAGTGAGTCCAGGCAGACTCACGATTGCCTCTGTCTGCAGATCAAACTGCCCTTCAATCCTTCATTCATTTGCTCAGCAAAACCTGTGGTGCATCCCCTGCGAGGGATTGTAACACAAAAGAAACAGACATGTAAGAAATAGGGATTTCATGTGCCCTCTGACCTGTGCCCTATCCTGGGCATTCAGGAGGAGAGGGATGGACATAGAATTATGGCTAGATCATTTGTCCCAGGTGCTTCTCATGTGGTCAGCACACAGGTGCTATGCCTAAGCGCAAGAGTCAGCGAGATGATGGTATCATCATTTGGTTACAGGAGTGGAAGTCCACCTCGGGTTCTGCACAGAGGTTGTGTTAGAGCTCTCTTCAGAGGGACCCTGTGCAGCCCTAGTCTCTCCACAGATACATGCTCTGCAGGAGCACAGTGGATGGCTGATGGGATCCTGATGGGAAGAGGACCACCTGTCCTTTGTCACAGTGGAGTTGGGGCTCAGCTCCTTTCTGGTCATGTCCCCAACCAGTATCCTCCTTTCCTTCCCAGTTATCTGGCCAATGACATGGAAGAAGACAACATGGTTGCAAAGCTGGACATGTTCTTCTTCCTCTATGGGAGGAACTTGGGCCAGATTCCCAAGTTTCACAAGATGCGCTCCAGTTTCATCTGCTGCATGGGCTGGGACCTGAGGGTGACAAGAGAGGAGTGTGAAGAGGTGCATTGGCTTGGGATTGGTGGGGCTGAACCGGAGACAGATGGCCACAGAACAGTCTGGGGATTGGTGATCAGAAACAAATGGAGCATGGACAAGGAGGTGCTGTTCCTGGATGACTTCACTCTCTCAGGGAGGGGCTCCTTTCCTTTCTAGATCCAAGCTTATGATCCTGGGCTCTGGGTGTGGAGGAGAGATCGCACTTTCATTCATGAGGCCTTGGACCCTTGGGGATATTCACCTGAAGAAGGTATGTATGTGTCCCTGTGTTTAGACAGTGCTACTGCTGTCTGTCTTCAAAATGCAGGGAACCCACATACGGCCCTCCTCTCATGATCCTTCCATCCCTTCCACTGCTACACATCAAGGGACCAGCTCAGGCTCACGTACAATGTTGGCCTTCCTCTCTCCACATCACAGCAACCAACAGATGTTACCTTGAAGAGATATTTTAGATGCTGGGATACTGCTTGCTAAGACCTCACAAAAACAGATTGCCCCTGTGCAGTGATGTGGTAGAAATGATTTCACTCAGAGAAAATGTGTCCAATAACAGTGAGAATGAAAAGTGGATGCTTATTCCGGCTGAATATTTCCTAGCCTTTGTTACATCCCAGAAGTTGTGCTTTTACCATGTGTCATTTATACGGGGCCTTTCATTCTTCAGGGAGAGCAAAGAAACACATTTATTTCTAATGAAATGGAGGTTTATAAAGAAGCTATCACAGTGAACAGGTCACATATTCAGAAAAGGAATATCATCTCTAACTGCGTGTCCATCCCAGCATGAGTGTGAACATGTTTTCTTTCTAATTCTGCAAGAATGTCACTCCTTGTAGAAATACACATCTCTCCAAGTTAGGCTATCCAAATTTATTCGAATGATAGTTATGTGATAAATTTTGCTTCTTATCATGCATACATTGCAGTTAGTGTTTGGACAGAGGAATAATCATTTGCTTTAGACCACGTGAAATTAGCCAAATTCACAGGTAAATATTTTGGTAATATTTGAAGCCTGGGCTTAGGCATTAGGCAGGTGGGATTGTGGTCCTGATGTGGAAATATTAGTGATGTTCATATCGTACAGAACAGTCCAAATATTCAACGCATGGAAAAGAGCAAGGTGTGAGTTGGGAAAACATGAGCCACTTTCTTCAAGGGTACTCAAATCCCTGAGAAGAATCACCTCAAATTCTTCCTATGAAGCAAGAAAACAGGTCTTACACATCACTAGCCATTTTGGGGATGTGGCCCAAAGAGCGAGAAAACCACCATTATAAATGATGATTCAGAACCATGGTTCAGAAGGAATCTGTACAGATGAAACTGGATTTCAAAATTGGTGGAAGCTATAGTTGGGATTGTTTCTTTTGACTGTCCATCTCGTTCTTTCCACAGGAAGCCTAATGGTGTCTTTCTCTTATTTTCAGACTTCAGAGCACAGGGGACAAATGAAGTCAAAACGCAACAGCATACATCTTGGAGATGGGAATCCATGGGGAGGGATCTAGGAACCAGTTTTTCTCTGTTACCTTCTCAATTTTACATCCCAGTTCCCTGTGTATTAGACTTTCAACAACTGTTAGCTTTACAGGCTTTGTACTGCGTATACTTCATACCATTTGAAGGTGACCTGTAGAGTGTCACAAGGGGAGGAAATCGCTCAAAATAGAACATTACGTTCATACATATGTCATAGGTTTCTTCAATATAGAGTAATAACCCTTCTCTGTTTATTATCAACATATTCACCAAAGAAATATATTGAGGCAATATGGATATCTGTAACCCTGTTCTTATAATGTTTTGTTAGATATGTTAGCTGATAAAGCTGCATAAATATGTAATCATTTAGGAGAAGTTTTTCTGTCATATTTATAAACACACTACATTAAAATCAGGTGGTAGCAACCACAAACACTTGAAAGTATAAAGCATGTGGCCTTTCCTTATTCACTGTGAGCTGTCATTTTTTCACTCAGCTCCACTCATCTTAGTCATGCAAAAGATCAGGTAGGTAGAAAAGAAATATGTTCAAAAGAGGATGGGGCTGTAAATCCTTTCTGGAGAGAAAATAAACACAAATTAAACCTTCCAATATGTATATTTCTGTCAGTGTGCATTTCTTCTTTCTTTTCTTTTCTTTCTTTCTTTCTTTTTTTTTTTTTTTTTTTTTTTTGTCTTTTTCATTTTAATCGGTACCATGGATCGAACTCAGGACTGCCTTGTTGCAAGGCAAGCGCTTATGCCGCTGAGCTAAATCCCCAGCCCCCCAGTGTGCATTTCTTCATCACTTGGCAAATTTCTTAACTGTGAAAAGGACTCTTGAATTATTTTCACATAGGCAAAGCAATAAAGCCTCAACAAAAACCCAGAATATTCCAAAAGGAAGCAGAATGTAACCTATAGATTTAAAGAGAGAAATGAGGAGTAGAGATTGAAGCAGAAAAACCAAGTAAAGTGGCATGAAAAAAAACAAATTCTGAGGGTGCTTGCATAATCACAATAAACCCGTATTGACTGTAAAAAGATGAATATTAATTATTAAAGAGGGATGTAGAGGCAAGGGATAAAGAAGGGAACTGAAATATGTTATGTTCATGTACAGATTTCCTATAGTGAACATAATGATATACTGAAACATGTACTAACAAATGCACAATATTATTAAGTGCAAACCTGGTGATGAAACCTGGTGGTGGAAAGTTAGTCATTTATTTCATAATGAAACAGGCTAAAAACCAACCAGAAGGCCTCCAACAGGTGACAGAATATATTATACTACAGTGCATGAAACCTCCAAATTACAATGTGTTAACAAAGTAAACATACTAGGGATTCACACTGCAGTATAGAAGAGCCTTCAATGCATTTACCTATGTAGAGGAAATCAGATCCCAACGCATGTGATATTATGTGATTCTACTTAGAGTGTACAACAAGTGAAAATTTGGGCATTTACAATTGCCACTGGTTGTCTCAGGATGGGGCAGAGAAGAACTACAAACTTGAAGCATGAGGCAATATTTTGGAGATGAAATAGTTCTTTATGGTAACATGGAGTTGGATATGTGGCTATACAGTTGCCAAAACACACTAAACTCTATCCCCAAATGTGTTACTCTATGCAACTTTGTGAAAATCAATCAGGATAGACAGGCAGTGTGGGATATTGCTGTAGTCTCAGCTAAATGGGAGGCCACAGCAGAAGATTCTCTTGAATCTAGGAAGTCCAATGTCAGCCTGGGGAACTGAACAAAAACATATCAGCCTGGAATTTGAGGTAATAGACCAGATTTCAGACAAGAACAAATGAACCTAAATACAAGAAATAAGTTACATGACTAGCCTGAGAGGGGTGATGATAATGAAAGATCCTGACCTAAGCATATTCTGAAAACAGCTCTCAACCTGGGTACTGTAAGGTGGAAGAGCTGTGCACAAACACCATGAGTTTCCTAGCAAATGTGTGGCTCACAAAAACATATGTTAGTGACTCTGAAACTATTCTACATGATAATGATTCCACTGTTGATAATAAGAGTTCAGTCTCCCATTGTAACTGAAAGAAGTTATGAATAAATAACGACACAATTTTGGAATAAATCCTTCTGTGTCAGAATGGAGTTGAGACATCAATATGAATCTATTTTAATACATATCTGGATAGATAGACTGAATTTCAATAAAAGAAAATATGTCTTCTTGAAAAATGGCTAATTGTAGTGCTTGGGAGAAAATTTCAAAACTAAGCCTAGAAAATTTTATAAAGCCAGAACTTAAGAAGTACTTGAAAATAAATAAATATGTCAAAAGGAGCTAAGTTGAAAGACCTTTCACAGCTCCAAGGAGAAAAATGAAAGCAAGAAAACAAAGATAAACAACATCAGACAACATGAGAGAATAAAATAAATATATGTGAATCCAAGGTGATATTAAACAAACAGAAAAGGGAAGAAGTTAAGGAACAACAGAGGGAATGGGATAAGTTTTTCTTAGAGAAAAATTTAAAGTAGTAAATATGGATGGATAAATACAAAATAACAAAACATCACTAGAAGGAAGATTTCTCAAATTGTTTGGCATCACATTCAAAAGCCTCTGTACAGAAAAGATAACAACACAATAAAAACACAGGCTACAGAGTGGAAGAAAATCTTTTCAAGCTACTGTTCCCACAGAAGATAAATATATAGGCTATATAACAAACATGAGAAAACCAAAGTGTTCAATAAAAGGAAAATTGAATTGAACAGACACTTCTCAAAATAGTACAAATGGCCAAAAATAAACATCGGAAGAAATGTTCAACATCTTTAGCAATCAGAGTAACACAAATCAAAACTATAATGTAATTCTTTTCACTTGGGAGTGGTTATAATCAAGATTATGAAAAGAAAAATAACAAACATTTGTTAGAAAAGGGGTAAAGGAACATTTGTACACTACTGGTGAGAATGTAAATTAGCATGGCCCCTAGGAACTCTTGTCAAAACTCTAAAATAGCACATAGTGGAGTATTACTATGATCAAAAAGATCAAAAGATCAAAATTTTCTCATTACTGTGAAAATGAGTGGATTATGGAGCATGTGGGACAAAATAAAGCAGACTCAGGAAAACAAAAGTCACATGTTTTCCCTACCATGTGCAAATTTAAAAACATGAGAAGAAAGTAGAAAGGAAATTTTTAGGCAAGAAAGGGGGATATAATTGTCAGTAATACAGGGAGATATAACTGTCAGTGCTATTGTCAGTAACACAGGGAGAGTAAAATCAAATCAAATATATAGCATAGGATGCAGAGGAGAACATACATAGCTTAGAAAGTATTATTAAACAAGAAGATGCAAACAAATATATAAATGAAAGCCAGAGAGAAAAATATATGAAAAACTCAAGAAACGATAAGAGATACAACATTTAAAAGTCTCTTCAGAGTTCCACAGAGGATAACAGAGAATGGAGAAAAATATAAGATGAAAAGAAATTGACACAGATACTACCAAGATGAGACAAGAATGGTACAAATGGTTGTGGTGACCTAGCAAGCCCATGGTGTGGTGTATTCTTACCCTTCATTGCATGGCATGTTTTGACAGGCCTCCTATAAAATAGGAGCTATTCCTGATAAAAATGACAGACACCAGTATAGCATGTAATATGAAAACTTGTTACCAATGAAAAACCAACATAAACCCTCTAGGTCCTCTTGCTTGTAGTACACTGGAAAATCACCACGTTTGTGGGGTCATACAGCTTTGTGGTAGATAACACCTCTGACATGAAGATTAAGAAAAGTTTCCTTGACTCCTTTTGTCATGTGAAGATCATTTCTGCTATGAACCCTGGAGGTACCCTGGAGTACCCTGGAGGTACAGAGATCCGATAGCTAACTAAGTAAGAGTTTAACCTCTGTCTTCCTGTTGTTTTGTTCCCTTTGCTGCCACAAACCTTGAGTCCCATTCTACTCAGCTCTCTATAATGACATGTTGATCATTTATAAAATGAGGAAACCACTATTCTTCACCATAAGGACACAGGGCTATTTCCATGGTTGAATCAGGAAAACACACTGGCACATCCTACTGAGCCACAGTATACTCAGTATCACAACAGCATGTCTTGGGGACAAAGGATCTAGTGCAAAACATTTACTATAGCTATGCCTGGAGCTTCTTTTTGTGCATACTGAGAACTTCCTCCACACAGACATCACGTGACCCCACCATCATTCCCTACAAAAGGACCTGCAAGGCAATCATGTTGGAATTTCTCTGAACACACACATCAGCTAGAGAAAACTGGCATTATGGTATCTTCATTTGCATAACAGTTTATGTTTCCCCTTATTGCACATTCTTTACATGTTACAAATTTAAAAATGTTTCCCTATGTGTGGAAAGCAGTGGAGCTGGAGAGTGATCACACATGCAGGGTTAAAGTAAGACCAGTCCTGAGAACACAAGTGCCTGAGGTGAGCCAAGTAAACAAGCTGATCCAGCTCCAAGTAAACAAGTTGTTTCAGCTCCGAAAGCATGAGGTGCTCAAGTGAGCCATACAAAGTTGCCAAATAGAGGGGCTCCAATGAACATCAAACTCCCAGTTGTATAAATAAATGCACTGTGGTGGTTGAGCAAATACTTTCCTCCCATTAGAAACCTGACTACAGCCTTCATCTTGTCTTTGTTTCCCATCCCTTCACTCTCCTTCCCCACAGGAACTTGAAAAGCTGAGCTGGATGCAACATACTGGTGCCTAAATATGGATCCAGTGTAGAAAGAAATAGTGGGTGAGGCGACACCTCTCATTGTGTGGGCAAAGTGGGAGAACTACAATGATAAAATCAATATCAAAGCGTTGTTTTGATACTCAAATATACACTTGGGGCTCAAAAAATAATGGGCTCACTGAGGCCAGAAGAAAAACCATGCTTACTAGGGCCAAAGGGTATTCATCAGGGGATAAAACATGGTACAGACAGATTCTCAAGAACCACAAATGTATATGCAACTGTTTGTCATATTCTTGATTTCTGTACTTACATTATTTTTATTGACTTGCATTAGGGAGCGCTTTAATGGTTTTAAGTTTGTTGAGAAGATCACAGAGGATTTGGTTCACAGCATTGTTTTAAAATCAAGTCCCAAGATGAAAAAATAATGGTGAAACACTCCTGATAACCTGAACTGAGTACAAGTGGCAATCCCAGGGAAATTTTGCTGCATCACAGCCTGAGATCTCCACACTTCATAAAATAGAACTATATTTTAAGTTATTTGTTCAACAATTGGTCATCAAAAATGCAAAGGAATGATACAGAGGCTTTAAGAAAACACAAAAATAGGGTACGTTGGCTTAAATGATTCAAATTTGTGCAGACACTCAGCCCTAATATGTTCAGAGAGCTACCTTGGCAACACTGACCACTCTTGAAAAGGACAAATCAGGGATACTTGTTTCTCCTGCAGGCATAAGGGATACTGCCAGAGATTGCCCTGCTGTGCCCATAAGAACAGCACAGCTGCCATCAGACCCATCAATAAACTCTTCTACTAGCTATAGATGAGGATATTATTGGGCCACTTTGCATAGATTCAACATTGATACGGAAGGCTGACTTATTCTAGGAGACTTGTAGCAGTGACTGCCCCAGCCTTGTCAAACACTCGGAGTGGTAGACCTCAGACAACACCCTAAGATGGCATGGCCTTGCTCCACAAAGCAGACTCCTAGTGGTTGGGGGTGTATAGAGTGGTCCTGATTTGTGGTTTGCAGATTTTTGTTTAATAAAATATTCTAACAATAAACAATTTCAAGTAACCAATACGGCAACAGTCAACCTGAAAAACCTTTTAAAATTCAACATCTGCCTTTCACAGGTTGGTAACAGGCTGGCTCCAGCAGATCACTGTCTCACTGGCTTTGTAGTAACTTTTGATATACGGTAGTGTGAATTCTAAAACTGTGGGTTTTCAAAATTGTTATTTACTTTATAGGTACTTGCTACAAATTCACAATCAATAAAACTCCACATGTATTTAGGTCTTTCCTTGCTTACTGCTTTCTTTTATCCATGCTCACTTTTCATTGCACTGACACTGCATAGCTTGCTAAATTTCTCACAATTGTTTGTTTCCAGAAGTAGGAACTGTAAATCTACATACTTGGGAGGAAGTCAGACAGCTTCTTAGAATAAGGATAGGGAAAACATAAACCAGAACAAATAAATAGTTCAGGACCTCTACAAACTTTTAAGAGTTATTTATCGGGAAGAAAAGGCTGCTTTCTGCTATTCTCATGAATTTTCACAGGTTCCTGGTTAGGGGAAGGACCCAAAGAGTTCCACCAAGCCTGAAGCCTGACTCAGCCAAGGGAGGCTTTAGGAACACTGTAACTTGTTTCAGCTGCAAAGGCAAAACGTTGTGCTTCAAATGTCATGTACTTTGGACAGACTGAATATCCTTTCTTAAAGATGGTTAAGTTTAGGTCGTGAGTTTCAACTTCTGAGAGGATAAAAACAATCATGCTTTGTGTCTGGAAACTGACTTAAAGCATTTGTTTGATCGCAAGTTGACAAGGGGTAGATTGGAATGGTTGAGACATTGTGTCACCATAGAAGCATAGAAGCTGGCTGAGTGAGTCCCTGGGGGGCCAGGTTCATCCTTTTGAAAACATCTTCATTCTATGCAAGAGGAGGGTACATCCTGTGCATGCAGCTCCTGCCCTAGGGGGTAAAACCTGGGGAGAAAGGGAAGTTTACTCTCCTCCCTCTGCTTTATCCTGCTGCCTTTTCTTTCCATTACTCCCTCTGATGCCATTCAACGGGCTTCTTTTTCCCAAGCCAACTTTCAACAAAGTGCTTCTGCCTCATGCAAACAGTTCCAAGGAAACCAGGAACAGGATCAACAAATTGTGAAACAATGATCCTCATCTGTAATACATTTTCCCTCACTCTCGATATTAGGGTTCATCTCCAAGGATTACACTACAATCCTCTCTGACAAATGGATGACACTCACTTTCCCAGTTTGGTCCTTTGTACTGGGTCCATGTCTCTGTAGACTCTTCCTCATGATTCATTTTTACTTCTGCCTGCAATGGTGATGCCCATTGTTTGGATGTCTTTAGTGGACTGGGCTGCTTTCAGGCACCTAAGACTGATGATGGCCCAACCTATACAAGTCCTGCCTTCTAAACATTTGGTAAAACTTTATCTGTTTCCTTTCCCACAGCAATTCTTTAAACTTCTCAAGGTCAAGGACCTCTTGAACATGCTCACCATGTGCTCAAACTTCAAATACAAAAATAAAAAGGGGAACCCTTCCCTAAAAAAATGTACACCTCTTCATAGACTTCCCTTGACAATATATACTATTAACCTTTTAAACCCTGCTAGGGATGGGACAAAAGTAGCAGAAAACCAATTCAATCAAGTAAAAAAAATATACCTAGGAAGGGCACTGTAGAAAGATCTTAAAGCACAATGGCACAGACCAAGCCTAGTGCTCATTTTGGCTCAAGAATTTGCTTATATCATTCCAGAGAATGCAGAGTGGCTGATCAGCATACCAGGACCTGCCAATTGGCTGTAGGATGGACCCAGAACTTGACAAGGAGTTGATTCACTTTCAAGAAGCTTGCATTCAGTTGTATGAACATGATGCCTCAGAGACTGCTCTACAGTCAATAGAAAAGATTGGGGTTAGGCCTGACCTGGGATCAACAGGAGGAATTGAAGATGGTAACCAAATATGGGACCCAAGGATCTAACTGAGTAATAGAGTGCATGGAGATAACTGAGCTCAAAGTTACATGAAAGATGTAACACAACAGTTACAAGTATTCTTAAGCAACAAAAAATAAAAAACTGTGTAGTGATTATACTTGAAATATTTTGTTCATTAAATTCTTCTTACCAGGTATCCACTAAGTGGACTGCAACAAAAACTAACTAGGCTATTTAAACTATTAAACCCTAATTTATAAAAATCTATTATAATTCATTTTGGCCAAAATAAATTTGAATGCACTCTGTCTGTCTAATCTGTTAAGCTGTGCACTTGTTTTGCCATTTTTTCAATAAATGAACAGTTGCTTTTAATTGAGCTCAACAATTATTCTCTTTCCATTTTCAAGTTGCATCTTTGGCTCATTTGTTCATAATTTAATTTGGTTAACAGATTTAATGAAGCCTGCTTCCACTTGGGGTTCCAAATACTCAAAATGATATTGATTTTTCTTAGGTTATCAAAAATTTTAGGATAAATAGAAGTCCCTCGGTGTGGGGAGAAATTATTGGACAAACCTGCAATTCAAAAATTAGAAAGCAGCTCCCTGGAATCATTTTGCAGTTCTTGTTCACTGACAGAGGGAAAACCACACAAAGTTGCAAAAGAGAGGACTTTCACTGAATTGGATAGCTCTCATTTATTTCCTTATTTTGTCATCCCCTCCTTTCCTTCCTCCTGGAAACTTAGAGAGCAGTGCTGGAAGCAGAAACCATGCAAGTATTTTTTCCTATTTTGTTAGATTCAATCAGAGATCAGAAGAACAGTGAAAACAAAGCTTTAGTGCAGTCAATTATAGCAAACTTAAGTGTCTAGTAGGTGCATGTAAAGCAGTCATGCCAAGCGCTGAACAAACTGTCACACAGATCTTCCCATCACTTGGTACTTCACTGAGGACTAGGCAAGGGGCAATCTTTCCCTGGATAAGGGCTAATGTTTGAAAACTTCTCCTTAAGGCATGTCCCTGGTCTTCCTCTCAGTTGGGGTTTGGATTCCTTCATACAACCGTTCCTCCTTTATCTGGAAACTTTCAGACAGGCAGTGATTCTGAGAAGCACACTCTCTGTTGGGTAGGGGTTTCACCCGACTTTGAAATTACATT